AGCTGTAGAAGTCACTTCAACTGTTGAACTGTTGATGGGAGCAGCAGCAGAACAGCTCTGTGACCACGGACAGACTGAGTGGTTCTGGTCCACCTCCCCCAGAACCACCGTCCAAGTCACTGACAAGTTCTTCAGGGCATGACCTTTGCCCAGAACGGGTTTTGAACCTTAAAAACTGAGATGATGTCACCAGTGAAAAAATACCAAAATATCTGTGGTCTCTCACAGAGTTCTAGGTACAGACGTTATGGACAGAAATGGTGTCGGTGTTTAAAGACGATGTTTGTCCAACTTTGAGCAAAATCAGATTTGAATTCAAATGATTTTCTATAAAGTGGCGCTTTGACCAAGAGCCAAAGTCTTTGTCATTGGTGTGGAATCCCAGGGTTCACCTCCAAGTTTGAGCTCGAATCCCGGTTAGGGCGGTTGGTACCTACCTTCCAGTGGACCCACCACCTGCAGGAAGGTTTGGGGGGGTGGAGGGGGGTTGGTACGGTGCAGTGTGGGTTACCGTGTCGTGGCGACTGCTGCCCCATGACACGGTAACGGAAAAGTGGATGAAAATGGATGGATGTTTTTCTACAGGAACATTTGCAAAGGAATATGTTCAGTTTCATAGACAAGTTGAACCTAATAGAACTGACATGCCCCCGGATACAAGAAAATACAACGTAAAAGCCTTCCGTAGAATTGTCCAGACTAGGGTACTCAACATCTGGCTCCTGAGCCACTTGTAATTTGTTTTTACAAAAATCACAATTAATCAGTGGTGGCTTAGTGGTTAAGGAAGTGGACGGAAAGTTTCAGGTTCGAGTCCACCAGCTGCCAAGTTACCCCTTAGGTGCTCAGAGCATGGCACCATCCCTACACACTGCTGCCCCCTGTTGACTGTGGTGATGGGTTAAAAGCAGAGGTCACTTTTGGTTGTGTGCAGTGGTGCAGTGGTGTGCTGTGTCACAATGACAAGTAGTTGACTCCTTTCCTTAAATAAACCACTTCTAGTCCAGCTTGCTTGCTAACAGCACAATAACAAAACGTCACTGTCGTCTCAAAGCACAGGTTTAATATTAATAAAAAGATAATCTACCACCCGGGCCTCAGATCCTCACTCGCCCCACAGTGTGCGCCCCATCCATCTGTGTGTCCTATTAAAGACCCTGCAACCGGGAACCTGACAAGGATCCCCCTGTCTGCTGTTACTGGAAACACAGATAAATAAACTTGATGGAGTCTCACATCGATTTCCTGCCGCAGCTCTCTGTTGATAATAACCAGTAGGGGGTGAGGGGGAGGGGGGTGAGTTTATACCTTAGATCATGGTGTGTACGTGCGTCTCGGCTCCACACCACAGACGGTCTCATCTGTCTGCTGAGTTCACGTGCTGTAGTTAAAACGCAGGAACAAGTCATTTCTAATGAGAATCAGGAAGACAAAAGTAATAAAAAGGAAATTATTATTAATAATTTAATATTATATCATATTAAATACAATATTATTAATAATAACAATAATACTAATAATATATTTATTATTATTATACGACTATCATTATCGTTTCGTAAACATTCATGTCCACTAGAGGGCGCAACAGTATAAGGCTGTCAACTCGGTGGCGGGCCTCCTCTGCCTTACTGTTAGCGCGCTCACAGACCGCGGTTTGTGTTTTTTGTCGCTTGTTCCAGAAACATATCTGACGTTCACGTTTTTTGTTTTTTAATTACTGAAAATATTTTTGTAAAGTATAGTTTTAAAAATTAATTAATAAAGCACATTTAACTCGAATTATCTTAACAAGTCGGTTAATTTAAATGGAACTAGAACTAAGATAAGTACTTTTTTGTGGAATTTTGTTTTGTGGAATATTTATTTTAAAATAAATAATTAAAAATTAAAAATATGAATGAAAAATACTAAGGATAGTTTTCAACGTGTAAAGTAATATGTATTACTATAATATATATAAAGTAATATATATGCTGTGTAGATGTGTATAAACCTGCAGTTATTGTGTTCATTTTTAAATCGAAAAATCTTGATATTTTATTTACGCCCAAAAAAAATTTCCGTTGCAAACACACGCTGTGTGAAATTATTTAAACTGGATCTGAATTCTTCTGTAAATCTTCTTTAATTTTTTTCCTTTAAAAACGCATTTTTCGTTTGTCGAGTGGTAAAAAATATTATTGTATTACAAACAAACAAACAAAACAGTTAAATTTTGTCAATATTATTTTGCAGGGAGGGGCAGAATAGACGGGGCCCGTGAAGAGTCTCAGACACTCACACCAAACACCGTGAAAATAAATGTTTACATGGCGGTTCTGCTGCATTCTCAGGGAGAAAACCTGTTTAAAAAGTGGAAATATTTGAGAAAATG